AGGGCATGTACTTTAATGTGGTTGATAATTTTAATCACATTCTGAAAAATATTAAGTACACATGACATTTTTTTGTCTAGCCAGCACAGCATTTCTGTGTGGATGACACAGTGCATAGACTCACATTCCCTACCTTTGACTGAGGTAGGGAAACCAGAAAACTGTCCCGTCATGACAGCCACTCCATTCGTGTGTATCCGGACCCAAAATGACTAATTCAGTTTTCCTAATATATAATCATTCAAAGACTTGAATAGTTCTCCAGCTGTGATGTTTGGCAATGAAAGTGCACATAACATATCCTCATGCACATCCTCCTGAAAATACACCATACAGAAGCAGATACTGTCGCCTCGTTGTCAGTATTGGTAGACTTGTCATCCCAGATTGCGTATCACGGTGACTCATTAATCCTAACAATTGGGCATCAGTCTCTTCTGCCATTTCATCAGTTCATCTAGTTATGGTGCTAGCTAAAAGGAGCCATCTTTTGAACTGCAGCCTCCTAAGAGTTAGTGACAGATGTCCTCAGCAGCAGGCAGGACCAACTCTTCACCAATAATAAAGGGATTCTTAGCTTTAGCAATGAAGCGAGCCACTAAGAGTGATGCTCTCAGTGCAGACACATTTGTTGAAGTGATAGTTTTCAACAATTGCTACTCTTCATTATGTTTACGTTTTTTTCTTTTAAAAAACTAATGAAGGGTGCTTGGTCACTATGTGGCAAAGCAGTTTTGAAGGTTTAATGGCTTCCTTGGATAACTGGTCGCCACACATTGTACAGAGAGGTCTTGGAGAATGTGAACCATCTGTTGCAGTGAACCTGTAATTTAAGTAGGACTCTTGGTATTCTCTTTAAGTGCAGCTTTCTTTTTGTTGGCAATCTTAGGGTCTTCTGCTGTCTAATCATTGGGTCTTTAATCCTTTTCAAAGAAGCTCTCTGATGACATTTGTTTTTTAACTCGTTTTGGCTAGGCTTAGCTTGTGGGCTTACCAAAACTGTGACAGAGACAAGTGTGCAGTGTGGGAAAGAGGCATGGATGGAAGTATTAAATAAAATAATGTGTGTCATGTGTGTACCACATGCAGACTAAAATAAGTGACAGATTTTGACTTAAAGCCTGCCCCCAGATGCAGCTGTACAACTGAAGTACATCAACTCACTTGCTGCTATAAAGCCTGCCACCAGATGCTGCTTGTTACTTGCCACTCAGTGATAGGGTTTTGATATGTGTCTGGAAGTGATTGAATTATTATGGTGCAGTCAAACTTCTTTGCTAATGAATTTGCTACTGTTAATTTGTTAATTTGCTAATGTTAATTTGTATTTCCGGCTGCTCCCAGTGCTACCGTCACCACCCCAGATCATCAGGCATTAGATTCTCATAGGGAGCATGCACCCTAGATCCCTCACACGCACAGTTCACAATAGGGTTGAAACTCCTATGAGAATCTAATGCTGCCGCTGACCTGTCAGGAGGAGGAGCTCAGGTGGTGACATGAGCAATGGGAAGCTGCTGTAAATACAGTTGATGCTTCCTTTGCTATCCTGCCTCTGCTCATCTCCTGCTGTGCGTACCGCAGCTGGTTGGGGAACCCTTCCTTACAGAGCTTCTTGATTATGGACCAGTGGAAGTAGATGGTTAGTAAAAAATTAAACAGACAAATAGTTAAATAATTGTAAATTGTAATAATGTGAGAGAAGCAAAATTAGGGGACTGTGCTGTTTTAGAGAGGATTGTTAAGGAAGGCGTTTCTGAGAACATAATATTTGAGCCCAAAACCAAAGAATGAGAAAGATTCAATTCTCCAAAGCCAGGAGAAAGGTATTGCAGAGAGACAAAAGAACAAGTTCCTGGCACAGAGGATAGGAACAGCCTGGGGTGTTTGAGAAACAGGTGAATGTGATCAGAAAGAAGAGAGTGGAACCAGCAGCATGGAGCCAGGGACCAAGGGCAAGAACTTACAGGGCGTTAAGATGCATTGTAAAGATTGATGGTCTTACTCTAAGGAAAGTGGAAAATCAGGAGAGTTCCATGTGTAATAGTTTATTTGATTTACATGTGTAATAGTTTATTTAGGTTGCTAAATAGAGAACAGACTTGAGGGATAGATCCAGAGTAGAAGACTAGTTACCAAGTCCAACTTTGTCATGCGTCTGCCTAATAATTCATGTCCTCGCCCACAAACAACCTTGGCCAATCAGTCTTTATAATCTTAAGTTGAATTTAGGCTGTTTTAAAAAAAGAGTATTGTTTATTGGGTTGTTTTTGCAGGTCATATGGCCCATCTATTATTGTGATATTAATATAAATGGAATTGCAAAAACAGTTTTTTCTAAAGTTTTGTTTTTTAAACTATCAGTGCTATCACTGTTCATACAAAGACAAAAATAAATTTTCAGTTCCCAGAACTGGCATTTCTCTCAACATTGCCTGGAATGAGTTATAAAAATGACAAATGTTAGCCTTCAAACTAGAAAATAGAGTATCAACTACATTCCACAAAAATTGTAGAAACAGACACGTAAGGCTGAAATATTCTAATCAAGGAGGAGATAATGAGTTTTAATTATGAATATAATTAAGCATTATTCTTAATAAGAAGTATACAATGAATAACAAAAAGTCTGGATAACAGGTCATCAAGGTTGATGGAAAAATAAGGAAGATACGGAGGACCTCGTCAACACCAACGAAACTGCTTGATGGAAACAACCAATTTTAGCAGTGTTATGCAAAACATAGCTTTTATTGCACAGTAGGTGTTAAATACATATTTATTGAAATAATAGCTATATATCTATTGAGTTAGATGAAGAAACAAATTTCTACCACGAAGTGTCTTGGTCCAAATGATCTGTGATGTCCTTATTTTTTAAATGGAAATTGCTTACAGTTTCTTTTTCTCCTTTTTTTCTAAAAAGATTTTTTTACTCTGTTTTCAAAACAGCTTTGCAAAGGAATCTGTAACTTGTTTCAAAATTTATTAACACTTTCTAATAGTGTCTGTAATAAAATAAGTCTAAATAGCTCATGCGATCAGATTGTGTAGTATGGCCAATCCAGGCCTCTCAGTTTCAACAGATCAGTTCACATAACTGTTTGACAAAGCAAGAAACAGCAACAAAAACAGAACCTTCAGTAACGATAACTGAACTAACAATCAGCCTGTAGTTACAGGTTTTGCATGTCCAGGCACACGGACATACAAAGAAATGCACTGAAATACACACATGCATATTAGCACACATAGTCTTAATATCCAGAACTAACCTCTTACAGAAAGAATGCTGCTTTTTATATTGCAGTCCTGAGTTGTTGTTGAGCAATGTCTCATCAAATATTTCTAGCTCTAAAAGATTTAAACTTAGAGCTGATGCCATGGTAGTATAAGAACAAATACATTTCCCAATCATCTTTTAAATTGTATGCCACGTTCCTTTAACATATAGTCATCGATGCCTTCACTCACTCATAAGTCAAAGAAACCTCAACTCAAAGTGACAAGGGCTACAAGGGCGTGTATTATTTCAAAAAGCGAAAAGCCCAATTTCAGGTAGTCAGGAAGAATAATAAGTTCAAGAGATCACCATGGTAGCTGTAATTAATAACAATATATCCTGTAATCTACTGGAAAATTGCCACAATGTAGACTTTAAGTGTTCTCACTATGCAAGAAAATGATAGATACATGAGGTAAGACATGTGAATTATCTTTAGCCATTCGACAATGTGACAATGTACACACATACCAGAACATCACATACCAAAATATCACATTGTACACCATAAATGTAAACAATTTTTACTTGTCAAATGGAAAAAAACAGTATAAATCTTGGAGAAATGCAACTCCAGAATAAGTTACTCTATAAATATATACAATGACTATGCACTTGTAATAATTAAAAATTTAAAATTTTTTAAAAATAGGAATTTATGTGTATCAAATAAGGTAATACAGTGTCTCAGTGACATCATTAATGATTCATGGTTCTACACACTTTCATTGTGCTCATCGTCACAATTAGCCTTTTCTTATATTAACACCTTCAACATTGAAAGTTGGCTAATGCGTGATTCCACGACGTCCGATACAAGCATGACTGCAGTAAGAGCCAGAACAATGGTATACACCTTGTCTCTATTACGAGGAAGACTTTCTCAGAAGCCTTCTAAAAGGCTCATCTTGATATTTCATTGACTGTATACCTGCCTCAAAATCAGCTCCAGAAATGAGAATGAGACCACCAGTGTGCCTTTTTACCGTTAGAAAACGTCTTCGACTCATGAAACAGCAGGCCTTCCCTGAAATACGTAAATAAGCAGAGGACAGGTGGCTGAGCCTGGGCTTGACGGCGAGGAAGATGAGGAGAGTGGGTGTCGAGTTGACAAACTAGAATACTGAGGAATGCTTTGAAAGTTAGCGTAGTATGAAATGTTGCAGAGAAAGATTTGGTGGAAACAGGATTGTTCAGTCAGCCAAAGGAGAGGAGTTCTAGATTTTACATCTTAATTTGTGCTTCAGATATTCTAGTTAAAAACTGTGTTACTACACTTTACAGAATGTTTTGAATCAGCAAAGAGGATAGTATCTAGAACACAGGGAAATTGCCCCAAACCTTGAATTACTGATGGATACCTTTTACAAGAACATCTATTCTCCTGTTATGAAGGATAGATCATATAATTAATTTAATCATTCCACCTAAGGAGTTATAGGTAATGAGTAAGATTTTTGTCTGATAATTAGAGGCAGGAGTGGCATTAGAAAAACAAATTTTAATTGTGTTTTTTGTATTGAGAAAAAAACCTTGTAGTAATACTAAATTAACATTTCAGTCCCAACATCATTATGCACTTTTTATTTAATCATTTACTCTCCCCTAATGTGTTTTTAAAGGCAGATTTCTGGATAATTTAATGATGTATAACTTAAAATCAATGTTAAGTAATAAATGTAGAATGGGACTAATTGTCTTTTTCTCAATTTTTAAGATCCTGACTTTAAGGACCTTGGAGCTTTGAAACCATTACCAGGTTGGTAAAATAGATATTTCATACTGTTCAGAAGACTTTGCTTTCTGCTATGAAATACACTTTTGGTTTATTATTCAAGATCCATTTTTGTGTGTTTGTTTGGCATTTTGTTGTTTAGCGTGTGAGTTTGAGATGGGCGGTTCCGAAGGAATTGTGGAGTCTGTACAAATTATGAAGGAAGGCAAAGCTACTGCTAGCGAGGCTGTTGATTGCAAGTGGTACATCCGAGCGCCTCCACGGTCCAAGGTCAGTCTTAAGATGAAACCCACACTTGACAGCTGACGTGAGAAGTGTCTATAACGTGCATTGCTTTGAAACAACTGGACATGTCTAATACATTTCAGAGTGCAGTCATCATAGGTTATGATTTCATTTTGATTTTTGAGATGTAGCTTGTCTTCTCTTGACCAATCTAAATTTGATGTCATAAATAGCAGTCTAGAGAGTGAGTTGAATAAATTATTTGATAACCTAGACAAGAGACTTTAAGGTAAGTCAGCCTCTCTGAAACGTGGATTGAAATGGTATGGAAGAGCCATGGTTCTAACTATAATCACACTTATGCTCTTATTGTCAATATCTGCAGTTGGTTGATTTTGTAAACGAAAATTATATCTGTAGAGGTTTTTCTGGGGCCTACAAAATCATTAATATCTGGCATATAAAATACAAGTGTGGCAAGGGCTGGCAGCAATGGTAACAGGGCCTGGGAGATCCTGTGCCCATTTGAAGGAGACAGGCATGACTTAGCTGCCTGTGAAGCTCCGTGTGGTGCTGTTATGAGAAAATGTGGGTCCAGCATTATCAAGCCCTGCATTGTTTCTCATAACTTGCCAGAAATCTAGGTTTTATGTTAATCACCCTGATTTTTGAGGGTTGGCAATACATTGTAAAAATTAAAAGTGTTACATATATTAAGCTAAGTCTATTGTGGGTTAGATTTTGACACAGACCCCCATTTTGGAAACATTTCCATGGAGCAACTATGTTGATTCTGTTTATGGAAACATCTTCCAAAATACAGAGGATGAGTCATTTTGTGCCAGCAGGTGTCATAGAACTAAGGTGTTATTTGTTCATTCTCCTGCTTTTGTTTTTATTCCTCAGTTACAAAGTTGTAAGAAAAAATATTGACTTACTAGATTTGTAGTCATTTATTTATTGAGGCTGAAACTGTGTGTTATTTAATTAATTGATTTTGTGACTCAATAAATTCTCAAGCCCTCTGCTGGAGACATGAAAAAGCACGCCAGGCCCTGTTCTCAGGTGTTTCTGTTTAGCTCTTAGGCAAATATGTAACAGAATAATCTAAGCAGTAAGGTTAGATCATTGGGGTATTTGTAAGGTATAACAGAGAGAGAGAAAAGACGCCTTACACCAGGTAGGGTAAGTCAGTGGTAGACTCGCACAGCTGTCAGTATCCTGGTGAATCTTCATGAGAAGTATTGTGTCCGGTAGGCAAGGTGAGAAGGCTCTCCAGGCAGAGGGAATAACATCTATAAAGTCATGGAATCATAAAAGAGAAGAGAGTGTGCTTTTTCAGGATTTAATGTAATTGCACGTGACCAAATGAAAGCGTGGATAGGGAGGTGGTATCGATTTTTCAAGCTAAAGTGTTCTCCAGGCCTCTCTAAAGAACTCAGCCTTCATCCTGAGTGCTTCAGTGACATGGAAAAACGAAGCAGAAAAGTGATATGACCGGGTTTGCATGTTAGGAAAATTGCTTTTTCCTGCAACGAAGAGGCAGAGGAGTCAGCACTGCAAGCGGAAGACCAAGTGGGAAGCTGTGGCGGGAATCCCAGTGTTGGAAATTAGGCCACGGTGGTCCAACGTGAGGGAAATGTTAGAGAGAGAGAAGATAGAATTTGGTGACTGGATATTTAGGCTGAGGGGAAAAGAAGAGCCACTTTTTTTGTTTGCTTTTGTTTTTGTTTTGTTTTTGAGACGGAGTCTCATTCTGTCTCCCAGGCTGGAGTGCAGTGGTGCGATCTCGGCTCACTGCCACCTCTACCTCCCACCTCAAGCAATTCTCTTGCTTCAGGAATTACAGGCATGCACCACCACACCTGGCTAATTTTTTTTTTTTGTATGTTTATTAGAGACGGGGTTTCGCCATGTTGACCAGGCTGGTCTCAAACTCTTGATCTCAGGTGATCTGCCCGCCTTGGCCTCCCAAAGTGCTAGGATTATAGGAGTGAGTCACTGCACCCAGCGAAAAACCTCTTTTGAGGGCACTGGTATTTCTTCACTTGATTTTTTCTTGCATATGTCTCTAGGGTTCGCATATAAAATGGAAATGTGGCACCTTTCCCCCAACTTTCAGTTTTTCTGCTTTGTTTCTCCGTATGTCACTGAAGCACTCAGGATGAAGGCTGAGTTCTTTAGAGAGGCCTGGAGAACACTTTAGCTTAAAGAATCGACACCACCTCCCATCCACACTTTCATTTGGTCACGTGCAATTGCATTAAATCCTGAAAAAGCACACTCTCTTCTCTTTTATGATTCCATGACTTTATAAATGTTATTCCCTCTGCCTGGAGAGCCTTCTCACCTTGTCTACCGGACAAAATATTTCTCACGAAGATTCACCAGGATACTGACAGCTGTGCGAGTCTACCATTGATTTACCCTATCTGGTGTAAGGAGATTTCAGAGATCACGCTCCAGCTTCCAGCTTTGATGCTTGCATTTCTCTTTGCCTCTGAACAAATCTTAGAGAAAGTTAATTGCATTATGAAGAAAGACAGTTATTTTTCTTCTATTTTTTAAGTCCAAAGCCTTTGCTCACATAAAACCATAAAAACCCACTACCTATATTACCAGAGAGCTAGGTTGCAGCTTATTACGCTTTTTTCATAAGACGTGGATTCACGTGCAAGGGCTATTTGTTTTTCTTAAACTCTACGAATGGAAAATTTTTAAAGACTTTTTAAAAAACAGGATTATATGTGCCCCCAGCTTACTGTCATAACCAGGATGTTTGTCACTACAGTCTTAAGGAGAAGGTTTTCATGACAGTGTAAATGCACACCCTTTTTTTCCAGCTGGTAAATAGACTGTCTTTTGTACAATTCCAGAGCAACAATAACCGATGTACCTGTCTGTTACAGAATGTGGCATGCTGTGACCCAAAGGGAAAGCTGCCTGCAGAGCTGGACAAAGATGGCTCTATTGTAACAGGCTTTCTCTGTTAAATTAAAGGTTAGAGGATGGGAAGTGGCTTTGAATACTGTGGAGAAAAGCAAGGACTGGAGATTACTGCCTATGTGGACTTTCTATTTTTGTAGAGTTCCTAGCAGCTTATGAGAATAGACTATCAAAGCGCAAGTTAAACTTGAAATGGCTTGTGGCGAATATTTGAATGACACCTGGTGACTGAACCATATTGCACAAGGAAAGTGCTGAATAGCTTACTTGACTGTATTAAAATGTATACACATTATTTACGACTTTTCCAGCTTTCGACAAACAGAAAATATAATATCTGATGTCTCCTTTACTAAAGAATATTAATCTAGATGGTCCCCTTTAATTAGAATGTGATTAATCTGGATTTCTTAGAATTTGGAAAACCAGAGGCAGAAAGAACCTTGTTACTGACTACGTCATTTAAAAGATGAATAAACTGAGTCAGATAATGAAATTCAATGTGAGTTGACAAAGGAGTGTAGACATACGCCTCTCTGAGCAAATACTGTGGCCTCCAATTCAGAATCTGGTCTGGAAAATAGCCACCAGAATGAAATGATGGGAGACCAAATCATGGTAACTATTAATTTCATGAAGCCTGGACCATATTTATCTCCAGACACCCAGTGCCAAGCACAATGTCTGTGATTCAATTAAAACTCATGGAATAAATAAACTGATTATTTCTTTTTTTAAAAAAGGATATGGTACCAATCTTCAAACATTTGAAGGACTGTCACATGAAACAGGAATAAAACTTAATCTGCAGGAGTAAGACTTTTAAGTACCGCCATTTATTTGAAAGTTTGAAACTAAAGAAATAGCTTTTAATGTAACACAGAGAAGCCTTTTATTTTAATAACAGACATTGAATGAGATTTCACCAGACGAATCCAAGCAGAGGCTGGCAGAGATTTTGAATAATAGTTAAAAGTCAAGTAATATTTTGGCACAGATAACATGAAAGTCATCTGAAAACCAAATGTAATGAATCTATGATAAGTGACTTGCCCAAATATTTGGCTAGTTAGCGACAGAGCTGGAGCAAGGTTAACATCTCCCAATTCCTGGCCTAGTTTGCTCTCACAAAACCACATTCTTTGAGGAAATGATCAAGGTTTTAAAAAATTAATTTTAAACTTTTTAAAATTTATTTTTAATTGACAAATAATGCTTGTTTATATTTATGGGCTATGGTGTGATGTTTCCATCATGGAATGATTAAGTCAAGCTAATTAACCAATCTGTCTTCATATTCTTATCATTTGCTAGGACAGGATAAGGGACAGAGTCAAAATATGTATAAAATACATAAATGAAGGTAATTTAATGTTTAATGTTTTTGGATAATAAAACTCTAGCTTATACAGTTTACTCATTATTTCATATTTAAAGTTGACTCAGTTTGTTGTTAACTAATTCAAAAATATTTTCAGTCAAATTAAAATAAAAAATATAAACACTTGACAAATACAGTAAGTATCTTACACTAAAATTGTGATAAAGGTGTTAAAGTTACTTATCTAATGAACATAAATTTCCAGCTCCAGTTCCTGGGATTGTGAATATGATAAATTTGCCTTTGTGATTAAGGTTACCAGTCAGGTGACTTTGAGTTAATCAAAAGGTTGATTATCCAGGTGAACGTAATCTAACCACACGAGCCCTTTAAATTGAGCAGATTCTTTGGATGTGAATGAGGGGAAGTAAGAGAATCAGGGGACTGAGAAATGTGTTCTAGGAGTGAAGGTGACCCCAGTAAGCAGTCCTCAAAAAAAATAGAGACCTTGGTCCCAGAACTGTGAGAAACTGGATTTTCACCCTCAACTGCCCTCGCCAAAGAACCCAGTACTTCTTACCTATAGAACTATTAATAGTAGATAGTAAATGGGTGTTATTTAAAGCTGCTAAAACTGGTGATTTGTTATGGAGCAATAGCATATTAATACAATAAACCAAGTGTAGTAACAGTAATTGATAAAAAGATAAGCATTAACAGTTCTGAAGACCAAGCCTGCTTTTATCTCCAAAATGTGAGAATAAAATTTGGCAAACAA